GAATGCATACATTTCAGTTAAACATTCATTAGTAACTTGAGTTTGAACATTGCTATGATATGTTCAGTTGTTACCACTTATCAGACTTTTTGTTGCGAAAGTCAAATTCGCGTTGCGATTATTGCGAAAGTCAAATTCGAAATGCGAAATCGCAATGTGAATCGCAACACAAATTTGACTTTCTTGTTGCGAATTTGACTATCGCAACGCGAATTTAACTTTCGCGTTGCGAAAGTGTACATTAAACATGTCTTTTTTGCCTTCAACATAATGCAGATTGAAATTTAAAACAAAAAAATCAACTTTTACAAATCAATTAAACAAGCAAAAAATAAGAATTATTTACACATCAATTAAACAAATCAACTTTTACAAATCAATTAAACAAATCAACTTTTACAAATCAATTAAATAAGCAAAAAATAATTCTTATTTCCTCATCAATTAAACAAATCAACTTTTACAAATACATCAATTTCACGCAGACAGTTGTTTATGCACAGATACATCAATTTCACGCAGCTCACTTCAGGATTAACCTGCAGAAACCAAACATTTGCTCAAAAAACACTTTCTACACATCTAAAACCAACAAACATCAAATTATTGAATCTAGGTACTTAACCAAACATTTTCAAACTAACAAAGAGTATATATGTTAACAACACTTGCTCAAACTTACCAATTGTTTATGCACACTTTCAGCACGCGGATGCAGGTAGGCAGCGTCTCGCATATATCGCTCTAGCCATAAAATGTCAAAACCACAAGCCTACTGTACCTCTATCTCTATCTGTGGGAGGTAGAAACTGTTTACTTCCTGTCGTCAAATGTTCCAAGCACATGTATACGAGAGGACCACAATCCCCTCTGGCTCCCTGCGTTTGTTGTGGCGCGGTCTTGTCTCTGATCATTGTAACTTTAAACTTCTTTGGCTTCTTGTTTCCAGAATTAGTCCAATAATCAATCGCATCCAAGTATTTAGCCAAATGAGCGTTCCATCCCTTACAAATAATACCTCTCAAATCAGACAATGGTATGTAATTCAACTGTCATATACCATCATCGTCAGGGATGGGAGCTGAAGCTCAATGAGAAGCCAATGACGAAGTTCCAAAACAGGGATAACACTGCAATCATAAATAATAATTCAATTGCGCACGTCAAAATTTTAGTTATGAACACCTTTAAAATATTCAAAAAAAATACTAACCTTATCGACCTCCCACCACGCAGGATAAAGTTTAGCTTTTCCATTACCCAACACATATGAAGTGTCTATCTGATCCTTCAAGTGAGCTACGTGAAAAGAAGTCAGCATAATAGTCCATCGCGTATTTTTTATTTTCTTCAATTTCCTTATTATCAGAAGACGTGACATCTATGCATCAATATGTTGTTTTATAAAAAAATACATATATTAGTGAATTTCATAAATTTTTAAAAAAATTAATCAAAATGCAATATAAGAAGAATATAAGACTTACCCCCCGTCGAAATAGCCATTGTCTTCAACCCCTAATAACACTCCCACCAAGACCGATCAAGAAACAAATGCATATCATTGCCGAGTTTGCATATGTCAGAGTAACACCCCTGGTTCCGCTCATGTAGATAAAAATCAACTGCGGTCTTAGCCCAAAGGGTATTATCCAGAATTGTGTCCGGGAGTGTTCTCCTCTCCACTTCAGATATTGGAATGGTACTGACCGGTAACTCATACGAAAGCCAACTCTCGAAATGTGGGAGGGACCTCTTGAACGATGACAGGGGCCTCTTGAACGTGGGAGGGCCTCTTGAAGGATGATAAGGGCCTCTTGAACGATAGGAGAGGCCTCTTGAACGATGACAGGTGAATCGGGCTTCTTCTTACGGAGTCTTGGCACTATTGGGGTGAATGGAGACGTAATGGCACGTGCACGATGTCTGATGCATGAACCCCATCGTGCAACAAAACCCGACGTAAAGCATCTACCTTATCGGGCCGCTAAAAATAAATTATATAAATCAGTAAATAAACAAATAAATAATGCTAAAAAAGGTTATTTGCATATAGTATTAAACAAACTTACCTCATTCTGCAACGATGCAACAATCTCACGTAGAGCGGCTACCTCATCACATAAAGTAGATACCTCACCACGTAAAGCACCATTGTCATTGCGTAAAACCTCTACCTCACCACGTAAAGATCGTACCTCATCACGCCATGCACCATTTCTTCACGTAAAGTACCGACCTCCTCACGTAAAGCATTGACCTCATCACGTAACTCCCCTAACTCATCCCGGAGGTGGAGAACAGAGAGATAAATGTCATGGCATCTTTTCCGGTCGCCTATCATGAGGTGATGGTGGAGAAGAGGCTCGATGATGTGACGAAATAGGTGATGGCTCTCATTGTAGAGGTGTATAATCGGCTCAATCAGGTGATGGCTCTGGGTGAGGTGATGGCTGCTCATCATCCGTGCCATCAAAAAAACGCTTACTAGCTTGCCACCAATCAATGGCAAGCTCAACCTCTATGGGTGTTAGCCTCTGTAATGGATAGTTGGCCTCCTAACAATATAAAAAGCTCAAACAAAGTTAAACATCTACTAGTAATAACTTGTTTACATATGGTAGTATTTGTGTTAACTTACATCATTCATCATCGTATATGGTAGTAACTTTCCAATCCAACAGTTGGATCCCCTCCAGAAATAGCCCTAGGAATATCATTTGAAATTTTGATTGCATATGTCCGCATGCTGGGAAAAGCCTCAAGTATCCAAATCTACAAACAATATAATACACAAACATAGTAATTGTTAAATAATTAATTATAATTTTGGAAACATTATATATAAATTCTTACCTTAAAGGCCCAAATAAAGCCTGCCAAAGTGTATTTGGCACCATGGCCACGCAAACTTTTTCGGTCTTCAAAGGCAAACGACAACTTTTCCAGGTGCTTTCCATAGATATGAACCCCACGAAATAGGTTCCATGCATTTAGGTCCTCTACCAATAATATTAGGTCCTCAAAATAGGTTGTTGGCCTCTTTCCTAAAAAGTCGGCATGCAAAAGTAATAAATGGCATACTCGGACAACATCGAGGTCATCCATCGGAGTAAAACCATCTTTAACAAATAATCTTTTCAAGTTGTCGACGTGTAAACTCAGCTTCGTCTTTTCCAGCTCAGGAAAAACCCGAGATAACCATGATGGGCGGGCGATATGACTAGTGTACCGACCTACATCATCGTGTCTGAAGCGTAGACCAGTGATTAAGCAAAACTCCTCCCGCCCAAAACAAGTATACACCGAAGGAAAATGAAACCATATCTTCATCACCACGTTGTATCCTCTCGGGTAGATCGTTAGTCATGTTCTGAAGAAACAAATGGGCCAACATAGCATCTCCACTTGGATGTTGTACTTTCAGCCATGGCCCGAATCAAGTATCTTCAAACAATTTTCTTTGTACATGTGTAAGCGTCGATGCAAGGCTAGGCTTAATTTATTCCTTAAGGTCAATGAAGCCGAAAAAAATTTCTACAAAAAAATAAACATACAAGTTAGATATACCAAAAACTACAAAATTATACACTATAAACAGACATGATATTAAACAGTGAAACAAAGCCAAATATGTTTCAAACTTGCACGGTATTCACCCAAGTCATTATTCTATCATAGTTCACAAAATGCATCAGATATATTCCAGAAGTAAGCACTTATATAACATTTAAAAGGACAACATATAGGTTAGTACAGGTTCAAGGATAACATAAAGAGTAGTAGTTTATTCTTGAAACTTAAATTTGCAACACTATGAAGTTAGTATTTGTCTTTGTTTTTTTGTTGAAGTAATGCAATTCATTCAAGTTTCAATTTGCAGAAGAAGAATAGTTTCTGAAACTTAAAATCGCAACGCGAAAATGAAAATCGCAACGCTAAAATGAAAATCGCAACGCGAAACTAAAATAGCGTTGCGATTTTCATTTTCGTGTTGCGAATTTAAGTTTCAAATAGTCTTCTGCAAATTAAAACTTGAATGAATTGCATTACTTCAACCAAAAGACAAAACAAAGATAAATACTAATTTCACAGGGTTAAAGACTAAACAGTTTAGCAGTATTGGCAGCAACTGAATGAATTTACTAAGCAATCTAAGTGAAATGGTTAATCTATTATTGAAATTACTAGTAAATTTATCATCAATTTAAATATGAAAAATATAATAATAATACAAAATTTTTAAAATAAAAAATAATTAAAAAAACTAACCCCCGGTGGTTGATTTTCATTCTGACCGTGAATGTTATGAGGTGACTCTGAGAGATGGAGATAAACAGATTTCGCCGGAGATGGGAACAGATTTTGTCGGAGATGGGGACGGATGTCGCCATAGAGAGTGAGCGATGAAGATGGACGAGTTGTGATTTAGGGGTTTAGGTTATGATTTGTGATTTAGGGTTTAGGTTATGATTTGCGATTATACTGTTTACATTTGTGTTGTGAAATTAATATTGTTTCGAATTCGAAAATAAAATTCGCATTGCAAAATAAACGCGCTTTGCGAATTGACTTCTGTGTTGCAAATTACAGATTTACATTCGCGTTTGCGATTAACATATTCGCGTTGCGAATTTGAAAATCACGTTGCGAATTTGAAAATCGCAACGAATTCGTAAGATCGTAATGCGATTTACATATTCGCGTTGTAAATTTGGAAACTGTTGCGAAATTGGAGTTCGCGTTCGAATTCGAGATCGCGTTACGAATTTGTTGGTCATTTTCGTAAATAAAAAAAATGAGTTAAAATCGTATATTATAATGCATTTTCGATCACTCAAGTTTTACTCTTAAAGAAACAAACTTGGTGGGGGCACATTAAAAAAATAAGTGCCACGTACAGAGAAGCACGACACTTTGATTACAATTTACAAATTCAAAGCTCCTTAAAAAACTCCATCATTCATCCATGGCAGCCTTCACTTTGAACATTCTTTCACATGGCAGACCTGCTCCTGAAGGATCCCATAGCTTTAGCAGCAGATGCCCTTAGGATAAACTGGTGATAGATTGCAGCAATGGCAGCTCCAATGAAAGGTCCAACCCAGAAAATCCACTGCAACAAATACCAAAACATCAAGTTTGAAAGGTATCATATAAAAAAAGACCAAATCCAAAAGATTCATACATGGTCATCCATATCTTTTCCTGGTTGAAGATAACAGCAGCTCTAAAACTACGGGCAGGGTTGATACCGGTGACGGTAATCGAAATTGTGGCCAAGTGAACCATGACACGGCAAACCCAATGGGAAGTGGTGCCAAGACCTAAATTCAATACACAGTAAAGTTCATTAACTCTACATGATACAACTTTATCTATATGTTTTCTCAATTGGTTGAGTAGACTTACAGGGATATGGGAGTCTCTTGCATTCCTCTTGGGATCAGTTGCAGAGAAAACAGTGTAGACGAGAACAAAGGTGTCGATAATTTAGGCGCCCAAACGTTTCCGGTGCTGTATCCATCGGCGAAGCTGTTGGCTCCTCCTGCATATGGTTGTAGTATGTCTTTTGGAATGCCTTAACTAGCCCACATCCACATATGGGCTCCTAAACATTGAGCAGCCATGTAATATGACTCGAACCAACGATACCTTCCTCGCCAAGAAAAGTTCAAAAGTCACTGCTGGGTTGATGTGTCCCCCTGCATATTGAGCTAATTTGTTAGCTATAATCATCCAGTTTTTACCCCATTTTTCACTGTAGATTTACCAACTTACCCGAGATAACCGGCAGTGCAGTAAACAAGGATAAAGATCATGCCACCAAAAGCCCAAGTGATGCCGAGAATGCCAACGCCGCCACAATCTTCACCGCCCTTAGCAGGGTCGGTCTGTGTCTTGTAGCCGATGACTGTCAATATGTGATGTACAAGAACAGGAGAGTGGCAATAAACTCGGCTATTACAGCTCTATAAAATGACCACTTTGTTAACTCCTGGGCATTGACCAATGGAGCCGGTAGAGGATCATGGTAGTCCTTTGCCTGGAACTCACCACCACCAACCTCAATGTCCTTAGCCATAATGTTCTCTTAGTTCTTACTTGGATTGCTTAGTGAAAGAGGTGAGAAGAAAAAGGCCTGGATTGAGGGTATATATGATGGTTATGGTGGTGAAATGAGGCGGTCGAGTGAGTGTCAGCTTTTTCCGCCCCATATCACAAAATAAAATGTAAGGTTTCTTTCAGGGTCTAAGACCCTACCTAGGCTGGATGACTGTTCGTTTATGACTTTGATTCTGTTTTATTGTTTTAATAAATTAGTATGTGTTAATAAACTAATATCTGTAAAAAAAATTAATAATTAATAATATATATACCCCGTAAATATAATTATTTAAAATTAAAAATAATAATAACTTTTTAACTATTAATACTATTTCGATGAGGTCATAACTTTAATTTTATTAATCTCTGATTTGGTTATGTAGACATTCATTTTCGTCGGACATTATACGTTATTTTTATTATTTTATTTACATTGCATAATATGTATTATTATTCTATTATTATTATTATTATTATTAAACTAATATTTTTTCATTTGTTTGTTAGGTAGAGTCCAAATTACAAACCCAGAAACCCAACACTCAATAGTGATCCACTCAATAGTGATCCAGAATCAGACCGAATCTGGAGCCCGACCCGGTCATAGACTTGAACTGGTTCAGGACCCGAACTACCAAACATTTTCACATGAATCAATTAGGGTTTTCCAACCCTAATCATTCCTCTCTTCTCGGTGCCGCAACAACCAAACATGTAGGGAATAGTTGGCCAAATCGAGGTCTCTTGGAGAGTCTTCACGCCTCACGCCTCACACCACCATCACCGGAATCCTCGACACCAAGTCAAAAGCAACAAATCAGTTCTGAAAGCAAGCATATGAGTCCAAAATCAAACTAAAAATAGGACTTTTAAACACTATAAATATGCATTCGAGTCATAGAGAAAAAGGAGGGTGATTTTGGGTTGGAAAAACAGGGGAAGAAATTTACAAGGGGATGTAAAAAAGAACAAAAATATTCGAAATAAAAACAGAGAGGGATTCGAGAAAAAAACAAAAGAGAAAATAAGAGAAACTCACCTTGAACCCGGATCTTGTAGTTGTGGCCTTATTGGAGTTTAAGGAACCCCATAACCGAATATAAAAAAAACTTCCTTTTTTTCCTAGATCTAGAGCTCTGAGAAAGGTTTTAGGTCGGGAGAGTTTAGAATATAGGTTGGGGTAACGAAAGGTGCGTTCGGGGAGGGTTTTGTTCACTCCGGCCGCCGAGAGGCGCCACGACGGTGGAGGCTTTTCCCTTTCTGGTGAGATTTGAGTGAGTTCAATCTCTATCTTCCCTTTGATTTTCAAAACGAAGAAAATGAGGGATAAGGTCGGTTTTGGCCTTTGGTTATTATATTTATATATAACGTGAAACGATGTCGTTTTATGAGGGACTAGGGTTGTACTTTAGCGCATGGTATAATCACGTTTATGGTCCATCCGACCTTGTAATTTTATCTTTTGTCATTAAATGAAATGGTACTATTTGTATCGAGTACTTGTTATTTTTAATATTATATTTAAGCCCTATTTTGTATATTATATTATTTCGATATATTTGACTTTGGTTTTGATATTTGTTAATATTTCATTTTAGTCACTTTTATATTTGGTTTAATATTGTGTGTTCCTTTATATTTGTTTAATTCATTTTAGTCCTAAGCTTTATTTCAGGGTTATTTACATTTAGGGTGTCTGTATTATTTAACATTTGCGATTTGGGCTTTAGTGATTTTATAATTAATGTTTGGTCATTGTATTTTCTATTTTTTCTATTTTAGTCCTTTGAGTTACTGTTTTTATTATTTTGGTCATTTAAGCTTTTTTATAATTACTGTTTTGGGACTTTAAGTTTTTGTCTTTTCTATTTTAGTCCTTCAAATTTTTGTTTGTGCTATTTTAAGTCCCCTAACCTTTTAATTTTATCCTGCAACCCATTTATTTTGAATTAATATGATCCATGAATTTTAATTGATTTTTACTCTTTTTTTCTTCTGAAATTTAACATTTTCTTTTGTTGTGTTTTTCTTTTAATATTTTTTTTTATATTTTTTCATTCTTGGATTATTATTTACTTATTTATTTTCTTTTTATTTAATTAATTTTTATTCGATATTTGTTTTATTTCACCATCTAACATATTTTTGATTTTTTTTCAGTAATAACTTCAATCGATCAAAGGTAAACAATTCAAATTGAATTTTTAAATTTCAATTTAAATTTTCGCAACTAAGACAACCGATAAATTAATTGGTACCAAAACGAAAGGGCATACAGGGTGTTAATCCTTCATTGACTGTAACCGATCCCCAACCCGACATATTTCTGGTAGAACGTAGATCAGGTAATGGTGTCTGATCCACTAAATGTTTTTAAAATGATCAATGGCGACTCTAACCCATTATTTCAAGTCGAAGCTCAATTTCGGGCCCACCAGAAAGGCGGTCGCGACAGCTTGGCTACTCTACTGGGGACAGGTAAGTGAGTCAGACCAGAATTAATTTTTGGTTGTCTTTTTAAGCTAAAATAACAAATTTAAGTTTTAATTTATTATTCGATTCTATTATTTATCTTGATTATTTTTCAAAATAAATAGTTGTACTGACGTTTTTTCTCTATGATTTGAGTTTTTCAAATTTTTTATCTCAGGCTCTATACCCGAGCTCTAAATCCTTTTTAAGTGGGGGTGAAAGTGACGCCTCGTGAGAATTTATTCTCCGTGCAGGTCTGGCAAGTAACCTTTGGGATTCATATACCTTATGTCTTCGCGTGAATTTATTCTCCGTATGGGTATAAGGGAATGTATCATCTCGAGTTTAACTTAGTTAATGTAAGCTTGTAATGGGCTTAGGACTAAGGGTGTGACAAGCCCAAGGGGGCACCAACAAGGAGAACTCAGGTACCTTCTTTAGAACCTAAATCAGGAGAGAACAAGAAATTAGAGCCCACCCCAAAACTTCATCTCAAACCCTAGGCTATTTTGAGATTATTTCCTGCTTTATTTTCTGTTCAACGCATGTGAACTAGAAATTTATACGGTTAGGACTGGTTTAAAATTAACATGTGGGATAGATATCATGTCCGGGTAGAAATAATAGTATGTTGGGTAGATTCATGTGGGGTAGGACTTTTTATTTTCATCATTGTTGATTCTTATCATTTCCTCACTAACTCTTTCATTTTTTATTCTCTTCATTTATTTTCATCATTTACATCATTCAAAGAGGTATTGATCCATAAAAACGTGTTCGTTAAACATAAATAATTTGTAGTAATGTACAAAGGGGTTATAATGCAAGAAATGAAAAGCTCAGAAGTCTGACAAATAAAGACTCAGAATGGACTGGGTTTACACCAAGCACATCAAAAGATAACTTTTCCAAAACAGGTTGGCAAAGTTGTAGGGGCAAGATGAGAACAAGGTTACTGACCGGGGAGTCCCTTCAAAGACAACAAGAACAAGATGGCAAAGCGATAGCTGAAACTAGAGGCCATTGTTGACGAATTCAAGAAACAAGCAGATAATCTTCGGATAGTTCCTATCGATTGAGGGATCCAATGGTGTTTCCGTTAGGGAACAGACTCAGCAGATATTGAAAACTAGATACGCAACTATTTGAGACTTCTTGGAACAAGTACAAAAAGCAACTCAGAGAGGCCGGAACGGTTCGACAGGGTATTCAATCGATGACAAAAAAAGGCGGAAGATGAATCAACCTGTCAGAAGCTATTCGGGGTCTAGAAGACTTAGGGGTTTTTTCGATGACAAAAAAAGGCGGAAGATGAATCAACCTGTCAGAAGCTATTCGGGGTCTAGAAGACTTAGGGGTTTTTTTGTCTCTTAAGAAATAACACTTTTGTTCCAATAAGGATTATTTATAATAACAGACACATTTTTGGATCAGTTCCTCGAAACTTCATGCATCATGCATTCTTGCATATTTCACATTATTTTTCTTTTTTTCTCATTACTTCACATTAACTAACAAGAGATGTCTCCATAAAGAAGGAAAAAAAACTGACACACCGAGCTCGTTTAAAGAAAAGACATTAGAAAAAAAGATTTGAAAGCAAATTGACGTTACCTGAAGCGTGTCTACAAGAAGATCCAAAGCGATGAATGAAATACTAGCGCATGTTGGTAAGATTGAGAAAATTCAAGAGCAACTCGTAAAAACCCAACAGGTAATGATCGATCAAGTAAAAATATTCCAGAATGAATCAGAGAACAAATAACCAAGTTAATGGACATGGTAAATGTTGATCCAGGGGAGAAGCCACTAGTGGACCTATTATGAATGAGACTATGAATGTTGGTGATGAAACTGAAATAACAGTATCAAGAGAACCTGTTAAGGAGCCAGATATTTTAGGTCAGCTCCAAAAATCAAATTGGTTGTAGAAGGTTCCACTGGGCCAACAGTGAATGAAGAGTTAATGAGGGATAAGTTTCCCTTGTGAGAGATAAGAAGAGGGGCATGGCAAGAAGAACCAAACATTAACCAGAAAGGTAAGAAGGATCAATCTCTCGTGATTAGAGTTCTAAACCCTTTACAATCATCCAGTCAAGACAATCAAGTTCTATCCGTAAAGTCATTATCAAGTAGTCTCTTCATGGGGATTAGATGAGAAGAAAAAGAGAGTACATAGTTTTCAGTTCCCTCTCTTCCATTTTTCGCTTGAAAATTTACGTTAAAAAATGCTTATAGCCGGATTGGTTACACCAGGATATGTCCAACCACAGTGTCCCCCGAATGAGAAGTGGACCTATAAGGAGATTCCTTGGATAAACCAGGATGGAACCTCAGTTTGTTCAGTTAAGGTGTCTAGCAATCATGAGGATCCTTTAGAACAAGCAATTCAGGGGTGCAAGGTAGAAGAGAAAGGGATTAAGTCCAAAACTCAGAAGTCGTTGATTCAACAAAAATTCCAAGCAAAAGGGCTTCTATGAATGTAGTCCGAGACTGGCCCGTGGGTTTAAGAATCAGTGGGACAGACATAGCTTTGAGGACACCTCAAACACCTATATCAGATTTCCTGAAGGCAAGAGGGGTTTTGGGTAGCTTAGAATGCATGACGTATATTACGCCTGTAACAACCCGATTTTCAAAATAATATTTAAGTGAAATTGGAGGGTTTAATTATGAAAATTTGGTGAAAATTTGGGACTGAATTGAAAGATTTTAAAACTTGGAGCTTGTTTTAAAGTTAAAGAAAATTCAGGGACCAAGCCCTGAATTTAACCTTGGAGTGTTGGCAGGCAATTGTTATATGCGTGATTTATGTTTCTGTTTGGAAAAACAGAAATCAATTTCACAAATCCTTCCTCACGCACACAACTTCCAAACTCGATTCTGACGCCGTCCGAATTCCGATCGTGGTTTTGAAACCACCGTTGTGTTCATCATCGAGCGAGGAACAAACCCTTCAAATTAATTGAAGCGAAACGCGGCCAAACGTCGGAAATTTCCAGTCAAAGTAGCGACGATTTTGTTAGCTCTATCGCCGAGAAAATCTTAAATTCACTGCTGATCGTTGCTCCGTTTACGACACCTCCCGCACCATCGTGTTCCTTGTGCCGTTCCGAGTCCACCGGTGTTCCCCTTTTTCTCCGGCGGCGGCGCGTGGGGAGGTGAACCGGTCAAACTTCCCGATTTGATGAATTCGAGCTCTCTGACGTTCAAAAATTTGAACCGAGCTTTGTAAGTATCTCGAAAACGCTCAAAATAATTTTTAGAAATTTTTCCGTAATTTTTAGAGCCCTGGAAGACACCTCACGCGCCACACGCGTCGCCGTAGGACGAGTGAGTGACCGGTTCAACCGATTTTCTTAAGGGTTTGACCGGTCACGACCCGACCCGTTTACCCGACCCGACCCGTTGACCCGACCCGATCGTTGACCGTTGACCAGTGCTATTTTGATAAATAATTCAGTTTTGGTGCTATTCTGGTAAATAATTTGGTTTTGCTGCTATTCTGGTAATTAATTTGAAATGGGTGCTATTTTGGTAAATATTTTAAAAAGGGTGCTATTTGTGTAAAATGTTCAACAGTTTGTTGACCTCCTTTTACCAGAACTTTGACCGGCTATTAAACGATCGTTAATCTTTTCCGAGTATACCTATCCTGATAATTTTCGACGTGCCGAATCCGTTTCCGTGGTCTGTTTTGTCAAATTCGAACCCAAAGGTCTCCAAATCGACGGTCAAAGTGGTTGACTTTAACTTTGACCAAGAATTTGAATTTTCGAAAAGTCATACTTTATGTTTTTCGACGCCCTGATTCCGATTCAGCAATCCGTTTAGCCAAATTCAGACTCAAAATACCTCAAATTGATAGTCAAACCCGACAAATGCTTATATACTTAAGAAGTTTAGCTTTGAACAATTAAATAGGATTTGGGACTGATAAATATTATTGTTTGAAGGTACAAGAGACTCTCCGGATCGTTCGACAGCTCGACACAGCTCTTCTAGATCAGTTAAACCACGTGTGCCAGTATTCACCCGTTCGAAAACTGTAGCAGAGCGTGGTGAAACCAGCAATCAGTAGATTTGCTATTTGAATCTATTGTCGAGGTGTATTCCCTACTTATTATTGAACTGTTTATTGGTTTTAATATGTGGTACACCGAATTCATTGGTTATTGTTCTATGGATGCACCAATTTAATGTGACAATTTATGGAACGTGGCTGCTATCTAATTTTTGTTTTGAAATGGTATATGATTACCATGTTTTTGGATTTATGGAATTTATGTCACGGTGCAATTGAATTTTGGAATTGAATTACGATGGAATAGCTCTGATCAAGCTAACTGGGCCTAATGTGACTCTTGAGGGCCCCAAGATGTTTCATTAGGTCGGCTTTCCTTTCCTGTGTGCTTAGGGTAAGCTATATGAACTTATTGACTTGGGCTTAAGGATACAAGCTTCAGAGCCTATCCTTAAGTCGGCTTTCTTTTTGCTATGTGCATAAAGTAAGCTATATGGAAAATAATTTTGAGAACTACTGATGGTGTACCAGAAAAGGGTTTAAACTATGATTTTCAAAAAGTTAAACTCTTTTACGAATTTGTGAGATTACTGGACTATGATTTGTACCTATTGTGATTTTATGGAAATGTTGGGACACACTGAGCCTAGCTCACCTTTTTGAAAATGTTTTCCCTCTTTCAGATACTGTTGGTTAGATACCTCGGTTCGAGCACTTGGAGGATCAACATATCTCTTGAAGTAAATCAGATTGTAATGTTTTTATCTTGCAAGTTGACTTTATTTTGGTGACATGGACCTTATTTTAAAAATATCGGATTTTATAATGATGACTCTTTTGCTAATACTGCTCGGTTTATTGTGATTTTGAATTTGAAGACATGTTTTAAATTAAATTATTATTTATTGGTACTATATTTACGAGTTGGATTTTGATAGTATAATTTGTTTATAATTTCATGTTATTTATAATGTGATTTTATATTGATGAAATAACGGTTTCGGAAAATGTCTTTAATAATCATAATGTGATCCACTAGACTTAGTCGAAACGCATAGGCTGGGTCTAGGGGGTTACATTTATTGGTATCAGAGCTTTTGGTTTTTAACACTCGGACTGTGTATGAGTCCACATTGAAAATAAGGTTTTGAAATATTTTACTAAACGAGTTACTAAGGCCATGTCACAAAGTTATTAAGATTTTAACTATGTTTGAGACTCCAAGTGCTTATCTAACTCTAAGTTTTATCTTCTGTAGTAAACTTGAGATCCATCAAAATGAGTGCTAGACGTGGTCGTCGAACTAGCCGTGGACGAGGTCGAGTGGCTAGATTCGCAGATCCGATCGATGAGATACGGGTAGATCCCCCACCTCCGATAGGTGATCATGCTCCTACGACCCCAACGGATCTGCCTCCTGCAGCTGGTATTGGCATGACTACACCGATAATAGGAGCGACCGATATTGAGTCAGAGTCTACCGTAGTTGCTTTGGATGAGAATTTTGGTAGACAATTTCTGCAGTTAATACAGGGAGCAGTCAGAGCTACTGGTGTTGTATCTGAGGTTCCTATTTCGCAGACTTTGATTGCCAATGGAGTTAGAACTTTTGGGGGACAGATAGGTGGAGCTCCTACTGAAGCTGAGGATTGGCTCCAGGATACAGAGAGACGCATGGATCAGTTCAGTTTGGACTCAACTAAGAGATATCAGGGTGCTGTGGCGATGTTAGATGGCAATGCCTACACTTGGTGGGAGTCAGTGACCAGTAGTGTTCCTACCGATCGTTTGACCTGGAATTTCTTTAAGGATCGCTTTCGGAGCCGTTTTTTGGGAGAGCGCTACTTAGCTCAGAGACGACAACAGTTTCAAGACCTGGTTCAGGGAGACATGACTGTTTCTGAATATGAGATTGAGTTCCTGAAGTTGCTGAAGTATGGATTCAGTATGGTACATACGGAGAGAGATCGATGTCGTAAATTTGCCCTTAGACTCAGATACGAGCTGTGTATGCAAGTTGTAACCCATCAGGATGAGATATTTGATGTGCTGGTGGGCAGAGCCAAAGATGCGGAAGAGGTGGAGGTTTTAGCTTCTGGTAGAGAGCGTGTTGATCAAGATCGATCTAAGAAATTTTCAGGCCCGATGGAGTCATCAGCACAGTCCGGGAAGAGGACTCGTACTTCAGTCCCTCAGAGAAGCAATACACGTTTCAGGCCTGCAGCATCCTCACCTTTAGTTGTCAGTCGAGGTGGTTCCTCGTCGTATTATAATGGGCCCCTTTGTGAGTATTGTGGTAAACAACACTCAGGAGAGTGTCGTAAGAAGATGGGTATTTGCTATCAGTGTGGATCTAGTGGTCATTATCGGAGGGATTGTCCTCAATTAGTTTCGTTTGAGCAGACCACTACCCAAACTCCTGTGCGTTCGCAGACTACAGTACAGACCCCAATTAGAGATCGTAGTCAAGGAAAGACTCGAGGATCAGCGTCCAGGACAGACAGTAGAGCCTGACCTCAGTAAAATAGAGGGCCAACAGCTTCTGAGGCTAGACAGCCAGCTTTAGTTTATGCAACTAGACGTCGTGATGACAAAGATGAGCCTGAGGTTATTGCAGTTACATTTACTATTTATTCTACCCCATACTTTGCATTATTGGACAATGGCTCCACTCACTCCTATGTATCGAGCTCAGTATCTCGAAACCTTCAGATTCCGATCGAGAACACTGAAAATACTGTTACAGTTACAAGTCCAGTAGGACAAGCGGTATTAGTGAATAAAGTATTCCGGCGTTGTCCTCTCGAGGTTCAGGGAGAAATTTTTCTCGCTGATCTTATGGAACTTCCTTTAGAGGAGTTCGATCTAATTCTTGGAATGGATTGGTTGAATAAACACAAGGTAAAGCTGGATTGCGAATACAAGTGGGCTACTCTGAAGACTTCAGATGGTCGGACTGTTGTGTTAATTGGTGAACGGCGTGGTTATCTCTCCAATATAGTTTCAGCGATGGAAATTGATCGTATGATCCGGAAGGGATATGAGACCTTCATTGCTTGTATTTTGAACACCAAAGGTGCATTGTCCACGATCGAGGAGATTCGTACAGTTAGCGAGTTTCCTGATGTTTTTCCGGAGGAGTTGCCTGGGTTACCTCCTGATAGAGAGATAGAGTTCGAGATTGAGACTTATCCGGGATCTTCACCTATTTCTATGGTACCTTATCGTATGGCTCCAAAGGAACTTAAGGAGTTGAAAGCCCAATTGCAAGAATTATTTGATCGAGGATTTATCCGACATAGTACTTCACCATGAGGAGCTCCAGTTCTGTTCGTGAAAAAGAAGGATGGGTCGCTAAGATTATGTATTGACTATCGAAAATTGAACAAGATGACGGTAAAGAATAAATACCCACTACCCAGGATTGATGACTTATTTGATCAATTGCGAGGAGCTACTGTATTCTCTAAGATTGATCTTCGTTCGGGGTATTATCAATTGAAAGTTAAAGGATCTGATGTTGCAAAAACGACCATTCGCACTAGATATGGTCATTATGAATTTTTAGTGATGCCTTTTGGTTTGACGAACGCTCCTGTAGCTTTCATGGATTTGATGAATCGGGTGTTCCGACCATATTTGGATCAATTTGTGGTGGTCTTCATTGACGATATTCTGATCTATTCTCGTACTGAGGCAGAGCATGACGAGCATTTGATGATCGTTCTGCGGACTTTGAGAGAGCATTGTCTATATGCCAAACTAAGCAAGTGTGAGTTTTGGCTTCAAGAAGTGTCGTTTCTGGGGCATATTATTTCTGCGCGAGGTGTTCAGGTCGATCCCAGCAAGATAGAGGCTATTATGAATTGGAAACGACCTAAGAACGTATCTGAGATCCGCAGTTTCTTGGGCTTGGCTGGTTATTATCGACGTTTTGTTGAGGGCTTCTCGATCATTGCTTCTCCTTTGACAAAGTTGTTAAGGAAGAATGTGCCGTTTGACTGGGGCGAGGCACAACAGGAGAGCTTTGAGAAATTAAAGGCGGTTTTGACTCAAGCACCGGTGTTGATTCAACCAGAGTCCGGGAAGGATTTTACAGTGTATAGTGATGCTTCACATTCAGGACTTGGTTGTGTTTTAATACAGGAAAGTAAGGTGGTGGCTTATGCATCCCGTCAGCTGCGGCTGCATGAGAGTAACTATCCTACTCACGATTTAGAGTTGGCAGCAGTAATTTTTGCCTTGAAGATTTGGAGACACTATCTTTATGGAGAGAAGTGTTACATTTTCACGGATCATAAGAGCTTAAAGTATCTTCTGACCCAGAAGGAACTTAATTTGAGACAGCGTCGCTGGTTACAGCTTCTAAAGGATTATGATTGATTGATTACCACCCTGGTAAAGCTAACATTGTAGCGGATGCTTTGAGTCGAAAGACGGTATCGGAGTTGAGGTCTTTAATGGCCAAGATGAATTTATATGACGATGGTACTTTGTTAGCAGAATTGCAAGTTAAGCCGACCTTGGTTGATAAGATCAAGGCTAAGCAGCCCCTTGATAGCTCATTGCTTTCCATCTTTGAGCAAGTAGAGCAGGGGACAAACTCAGATTACGCAATTGATCAGGATGAAGTTTTATGCTTTAAAGGTAGATATTGTGTGCCTAATGATGCTAGTTGAGGCAGACTATCCTTACTGAGGCTCATAGTAGTCCATATGCTATGCACCCCGGAGGAGATAAGATGTACCGGAATTTGAGAGAGAGGTATCATTGGATTGGGATGAAGAAAGACATATCTGATTTTGTGGCTAGGTGTTTGACTTGTCAACAAGTTAAGGCAGAACATCAACATACATCAGGTTTGTTACAACCTATCAAGATTCCTAAATGGAAATGGGAGCGTATTACTATGGATTTTGTTACTGGCTTGCCTATGACTCCTTTGAAAAAAGATTCAGTTTGGGTGATTGTTGACAGACTTACAAAGGCAGCTCACTTCATTCCTATGCGAGTAAATTATACTTTGGACAAGCTGGCAAGATTGTATATTTCAGAGATTGTCAGATTGCATGGTGTTCCATTGTCTATTATTTCTGATCGAGATCCGAGATTTACTTCGAGATTTTGGAAGGCGTTACATACGACTTTGGGAACAAGATTGGATTATAGTACACCCTTTCATCCATAAACTGATGGTCAATCTGAGAGAGTAATTCAGATTCTGGAGGATATGTTGCGGGGTTGCGTAATCGATTTTCATGGTAGTTGGGAGAACTTTTTGCCGTTGGCTGAATTTGCTTACAATAACAGTTATCAGACAAGCATTCGTATGGCACCTTATGAAGCACTCTATGGGCGTAAATGTCGCACTCCGATCTGTTGGATTGAGTTGCGTGATAGGAAAACGTTGGGACCTGAGTTAGTACGTGAGACGGAGGACACAGTCAGATTAATCCGTGACCGTCTGAAAGAGACATTTGATAGGCAGAAATCTTATGCAGATCAAAGGAGGAAGGATATACAGTTTGAGGTTGGAGATCAGGTCTTTTTAAAAGTTTCACCCTGGAAGAAAGTATTGAGATTCGGGCGTAAGGGTAAATTGAGTCCAAGATTTATTGGACCATTTCGTATCTTGAAGAGGGTAGGACCTGTTGCATATTAGCTTGAGTTGCCTTTTGAGCTCAGTCGTATTCATGATGTCTTTCATGTATCAATGTTGAGGCGATATCATCCAGATCCAGATCACATCATTCAGGTTGAGGATGTAGACCTGAGACCTGATTTGTCATATGAGGAAGAGCCCATTCAGATCTTAGAGAGAGATAAACGAGTTCTTCGGAATAGGCGTAATCCAATGGTCAAGGTTCAGTGGAGTAATCGAGGTCCCTCAGAAGCTACTTGGGAGACATTGGAGTCAATGGAGGCTCAATTTCCTCATCTATTTTCATAAGGTAAATTTCGAGGACGAAATTTCTTGTAGAGGGGGAGAATTGTAACAACCTGATTTTCAAAATAATATTTAAGTGAAATTGGAGGGTTTAATTATGAAAATTTGGTGAAAATTTGGGACTGAATTGAAAGATTTTAAAACTTGGAGCTTGTTTTAAAGTTAAAGAAAATTCAGGGACCAAGCCCTGAATTTAACCTTGAAGTGTCGGAAGGCAATTGTTATATGCGTGATTTCTGTTTTGAAAAACAGAAATCAATTTCACAAATCCTTCCTCACGCACACAACTTCCAAACTCGATTCCGACGCCGTCCGAATTCCGATCGTTGTTTTGAAACCACCGTTGTGTTCATCATCGAGCGAGGAACAAATCCTTCAAATTAATTGAAGCGAAACGCGGCCAAACGTCGGGAATTTCCAGTCAAAGTAGCGACGGTTTTGTTAGCTCTATCGCCGAGAAAATCTTAAATTCACTGCTGATCGTTGCTCCGTTTACGACACCTCCCGCACCATCGTGTTCCTTGTGCCGTTCCGAGTCCACCGGTGTTCCCCTTTTTCACCGGCGGCGGCGGCGCGTGGGGAGGTGAACCGGTCAAACTTCCCGATTTGATGAATTCGAGCTCTCCGACGTTCAAAAATTTGAACCGAGCTTTGTAAGTATCTCGAAAACGCTCAAAATAATTTTTAGAAATTTTTCCGTAATTTTTAGAGCCCCGGAACGCGCCACACGCGCCGCCGTAGGACGAGTGAGTGACCGGTTCAACCGGTTTTCTTAAGGGTTTGACCGGTTTGACCGGTCCCGACCCGACCCGACCCGACCCGTTGACCCGACCCGATCGTTGACCGTTGACTGGTGCTATTCTGGTAAATAATTCAGTTTTGGTGCTATTCTGGTAAATAATTCGATTTTGCTGCTATTCTGGTAATTAATTCGAAATGGGTGCTATTTTGGTAAATATTTTAAAAAGGGTGCTATTTGTGTAAAATGTTCAACAGTTTGTTGACCTCCTTTGGCCAGAACTTTGACCGGCTATTAAACGATCGTTAAGCTTTTCCGAGTATACCTATCCTGATAGTTTTCAACGTGCCGAATCCGTTTCCGTGTTCCGTTTTTTCAAATTCGAACCCAAAGGTCTCCAAATCGACGGTCAAAGTGGTTGACTTTGACTTTGACCAAGAATTTGAATTTTCGAAAAGTCATACTTTATGTTTTTCGACGCCCTGATTCCGATTCCGCAATCCGTTTAGTTAAATTCAGACTCGAAGTACCTCAAATTGATAGTCAAACCCGACAAATGCTTATATACTTAAGAAGTTTAGCTTTGAACAATTAAATAGGATTTGGGACTGATAAATATTATTGTTTGAAGGTACAAGAGACTCTCCGGATCGTTCGACAGCTCGACACAGCTCTTCTAGATCAGTTAAACCACGTGTGCCAGTATTCACCCGTTCGAAAACTGTAGCAGAGCGTGGTGAAACCAGCAATCAGTAGATTTTCTATTTGAATCTATTGTCGAGGTGTGTTCCCTACTTATTATTGAACTGTTTATTGGTTTTAATATGTGGTACACCGAATTCATTGGTTATTGTTTTATGGATGCACCAATTTAATGTGACAATTTATGGAATATGGCTGCTATCTAATTTTTGTTTTGAAATGGTATATGATTACCATGTTTTTGGATTTATGGAATTTATGTCACAGTGCAATTGAATTTTGGAATTGAATTACGATGGAATAGCTCTGATCAAGCTAACTGGGCCTAATGTGACTCTTGAGGACCCCAAGATGTTTCATTAGGTCGGCTTTCCTTTGCTGTGTGCTTAGGGTAAGCTATATGGACTTATTGACTTGGGCTTAAGGATACAAGCTTCAGAGCCTATCCTTAAGTCGACTTTCTTTTTGCTATGTGCATAAAGTAGCTATATGGAAAATAATTTGAGAAGTACTGATGGTGTACCAGAAAAGGGTTTAAACTATGATTTCCAAAAGTTAAACTCTTTTACGAATTTGTGAGATTACTGGACTATGATTTGTACCTATTGTGATTTTATGGAAATGTTGGGACACACTGAGCCTAGCTCACCTTTTGAAAATGTTTTCCCCCTTTCAGATACTGTTGGTTAGATACCTCGGTTCGAGCACTTGGAGGATCAACATATCTCTTGAAGTAAATCAGATTGTAATGTTTTTATCTTGCAAGTTGACTTTATTTTGGTGACATGGACCTTATTTTAAAATATCAGATTTTATAATGATGACTCTTTTGCTAATACTGCTCGGTTTATTATGATTTTGAATTTGAAGACATGTTTTAAATTAAATTATTATTTATTGGTACTATATTTACGAGTTGGATTTTGATAGTATAATTTGTTTATAATTTCATGTTATTTATAATGTGATTTTATATTGATGGAATAACGGTTTCGGAAAATGTCTTTAATAATCATAATGTGATCCACTAGACTTAGTCGAAACGCATAGGCCGGGTCTAGGGGGTTACAACGCCAGTCATAGTTGCAATATGCGTTCGGGATCCAACTAAAACTATCATCACCAAGGAAAATCATTTTGGATCTAAATTTGGGCCCAATTTCCTACTAGGAAAGGAAAAGCTGAAAATCACAAAGAAGTGAGATTTTCCTAAGAAGCTGCTCAGGAGAAAGAAAAAATTTATGCGTCTGAGGGTACATCAAAAGGAGCCCTGACAAGTGAAACAATTAAGAAATAGGGAGCAAGTGTAGATGAAATCCCTAATCCAACTAGTGAGGCATCCTAATAAGGCCTTATTCCATTTTATGACATACTGTTTGAATTTGTTTTTTAACTTTCTCATATTTCGAACTTGTTTTTTGAACTTTCTTTTTATATGGATATTTAAATGAATTTATGCCGAGCATTGAACCAAATTTACAACTTGAAATTCTTTGAATATCCTCTGAATTAAAAACTCTGTAAATGATCGGAGTTACAGATCTTTGATAAATTGACATGATCAAATAATGAACCTTGGTTTTACCCTAAAAGACACACTCGAACACCGTACCCTTCTCTCGTAAGGACCGATATACCATTCTCCTTTCATAAGAAAATGAACAAGAGGATTGGTAGTAGGTATGCAAAGGAGCGGACAACATGGAGCATCTCTTGTGTATGACATTACTACACTTTTATTGAGGATGTTCAATAATGATAATGATCTTCACAGATGAAATAGTTGAGTAGGTGAAACTAGTTTAGGTTAGTTGCTTGGAAATTGAACTCTAAAAATGAGATTCATCGACTTTCAACAACACCTAGACTATAACAGGTTCTTCTTGACAAACTTAAGAAGTTGAATCCGTATACCCAAATTATAATATTATATGTATACAATAAAGCTTGAGTTGTCCCTGTAGAGCAATTGGTTAAACACCCCGGCTTTATGGATAAGATTAAGCTAGCCTGATTATAATATATATACAATAAAACTTGAGTTGTCCCTTTAAAGAAATTGGTTAAACGTCCCAGCTTTATGGATAAGATTCAGCTAGCCTGATAAAGGTGATTATAATATTGAGCTGTCCCTCTAGAGCAATTGGTTAAACGCCTCGGCTTCATGAATTCAGCTAGCCAGATAATGGCAAATTAAATCAAATTTATCTAAATAAGGAGTTTCGGTAAAGATGGACTAAGGGAGTTAAGGAACACCTGTTATAGTCAATTTCACACGAGCACTCAAGAATTTCATTTTTAGACCGATATTTATGCACTGCCTTTGTTGGAGGAGTCTACAAAGCTTGAATAAATGAAAGATTTTAGAGGACTGAAATAGAAGGTCTAGTAATGGATTATGCTAGTTGCGTCATTTTTTCTGTATCCGATTAAAATGCCAATCCGAGAAAGAGGGGCATGTTATGATGTTCAAAAACAGAAATGACATTTTGGTGGCTAAAATCTTAGAAAATAAGAAGCCAACCTAAAACCAACTCATCAACTTGGACATTTGTCAAAGAGCTATAACTCTGAAAGCATTAAAGATTTATTGATTCTTTTGATTTTCTGTGAACTCATTTGATTCGATTGTGAGCCTGAATTGAGGGGCAACGTTTTACAAAATTCTCATATTCTCGTATAATTTTTTCCTTCCTAAAATAAAAGAAAGGAGAAAAACATTTTCAAACAGGACAATCTCAAATGTGAAAGGTCCTTGAAGTTGTTGAGGCTCATTTTGCCTCTATTAAAAAAAGAATAAACAATGCCAAATTTAGAGCATCTCACATTCGTGAAAGTAACCAGTCCAAGTGATCAGATAGAACTTGTAACGTTCCCTTGTGACATTGTCAACAACCCAAGAAGAAAATGGGGCATGATCGATTCCAAGGACTAGATCGGCAAACAAAGAACGAGACTCTGTCCAGGAGTTAAAACAGAACTAATTCATATTGCATGCATCTTAGACATACATAATAACATCACATTTATCATTTTTCGCATACAAATTTTTTATAGCTTTAGAGTCAAGTTTTAAGTTCAAGACAAAAAATACTTGATTCAAAAGAACCTTTAAAAAAATTGATGATGGTTGTTTAACTCAGTGGCAAGAAGCTACACCTCAACCAACTTGACATACTGAAAGATCGACAATCAACTTCAAACGGATTCGAGATCTAATTCAGCCTAACTCAACAACGAGTGGCTAGTTTCCAGTTAAAATTTTCAAGCCAGATTTCAACTCCAAGGCGGATGATATCCAACAGACAAACTACGTGTAACACCCCCAACCCGTATCCGACCCGGATCCGAGTTCGAGGTGTCATATTGACTTTTCAAACATTTTTCTTTATAAAATGACTAAAAGTTAAATTCATAATTCAAGAAAATTATTACTTTTCATTTATTTAAAATCAATTGGTTTTACAAAACATATCAGAGTTCATACACTTTAAATCTTTAGACTACATGCCAACGACACACTATATAACAAAATACATATACTCAACTCCAATTCTGATCTGATATGTGGAAAGGAGAATCTGACCTGTCTTGCTCCTCTTCGCTTCTCTTCTCGCTTTCTGGAACCTACATGTGAAACACTCACACGCTAAGTCTATGACTTAGTGAGGCATATAAAATATGTAAGGTAAACTATAACTCCTAACAATGAATGCATGATTTATACCATCACATCATACATCCTCATGTACACTTTCAGGAAATCAATATATATACATATGCATATATCATCATGTCATATGGAATTGTATACTATTTCAAATTCATATAATCATTTATATCTACCCCACTCAGCTTATATATATTCTCCTGTTATCATTTAAACCATTTCTTTTATATGACTCTTCATCATATAATTTCTATTCCAGAGTCACATATCTTATCTCTTATTTCCATATACTCCTATTTATCATATAACCCATAGATTATTATTACATATTCTATATCATATTCTGGTATACTAATTCCTTATATTCTATTAGTTCATTTTTTATATAATTTATCACATAAACATATATTTTCATAATTTATCATTATCTGATTCCTATGATATTCTCATATAACTTCATTTCCTAGATCCCTATATTATATTTCATATTAACTAAGAATTTAACAAGTTTTTAGATCACAATTTCATTGAAACATATAGACCTTTCTATACAACTTATTTCATCCATTCTTATACTTATTTCTGTACATGTTTCCTATTTGATATATTATTTATTTTCTCTTTATTCTCATTTAATAATATAATTCCTTTATACTAGTTCACCCACAAAGTATATTCTCACAGTACGATCATAATTATTCTATTCATATAATCCTATAGTCCACTACCTTATTACATATACATATACTTATGGAGTTCACAATATTTCTCATGTAATTACTTGTACCATATCATATAAGTTCATTATATTCTCTTATATTCCAACATATCAAATAAACATAATTTTTAACATAGATAATATAACATATGCAATACATGCAACCAATACACTCATATCCAAGTACACAATTACATAACAATCATATCAAGTTTATTTCTATTATCTCTTTATTAGCCCATGTACACATGTGAGAATCTGAGGTACGTGAGTACATTGAGGTTGTGCACAATTGTTGTCACCACAGCTCGTATAAATTCCCACTAGGGCACTTCACTTGTCCCGAAGGACCACTATGTCTCGAAGGACCACTATCCACATGTCCTGAAGGACATAGGTAACCCTCGGCATGCCAACTATACCTCTAACTCTCATGACACATAACATGGGCATTAACAATTATCATTTCAAATATTCATACTTTCATATCACATATCTTTGTATTACATAGCTAATGTCATTTCTTATGAAATCATTTATAACTTGTAGCACATATAACTCATATGTTTCTTACATGTTCATATATGTCATATCATATGGTTCTTATATTTTCATATAGTTTATGTTTTATTCTCTTATATTCACATAATTCACATACATATAATACATACCATGCATGTTCACACAAATCATATGACCTACAACACATACATCATATTAAACTTATGCTAATATTAATGAATTCATGCATTCCACTATAGGAAATAGACTTGTCGCAAGTCTTACTTCCATTAAACATCATATGATATCTAATATGCACTCACCTGTCCTCACTAGTCAATACCGTTATCTTATCTTTTCCTCGATGCCTAATACTTGTCGACTGGTCTGGACTTTGCTATCGCTTGATATCTACACAATCATACATATAATATATATATCAACATTCCAATTATCATAATTCGATCCTTAATAATTCAAGATAATCGAAATGCTAAATACAATTTCCTCTTTGAGTAGTATCGGTACCCCCAAGCATGGTACTGATACTTCCCTAGCTATGATATCGATACCAAGCCTGGGTATCGATACTTAAATTGCATTTGATATTTCCTGGTATCGATACCTTCTTTATGGTATCGGTACCTATGGTATCGATACTACCTTCCCAGGTATAGATACCCTTTGAATGTCTTTGTTAATTCCAAACTTGAAGTATCGGTACCTGTTGAAGCGATATCGATACCCAAAGCCCAGATTTCACTTTTAAAACCCGAAAATTAACTCATTCTAACTCAAATCCTTCATGTCTTAACCCCTTTAATATTCTTAACTCAAATATGCATACCCAAACCAATTCATATGCATTTAATACCTCTTTATCTTCAAAATCTCATCCTCCAAATGAAAATCAAGAATCATACCAAATTTTCAACATGTTCTAATTCCAATTCTATCACTTCATATCTCTTAATTTAATTGACAAGTCAAATTTAGCTTCCAATTCTACTTATCAACTCTTTTCCAAGATTTCATTTAAAAACTCATTCTCTTTAATCTCTCCTAACTTGTTCATCTTTGAGTTTTAAACCATTTAAAACTTCCCTTAAGCTTTCTTATCACTCTAAGAATAAAAAAAAGCCTTAAAATTAAAGAAACAATCAAGTTGAATCCAACTCACCTTACCATTGAAGCCACGGGATGAAGAAGATAACAAGCCTCCAGAGTTTTCTTTCCCTTCCTCTCCTTTTCCACGTGGTTCATTATCTTATAAAGGGAAAATAAAAATCTTTCTTGTCAAATGACCATTTTACCCTTTACTTCATTTAATAATTACTAACAATCATTCATAAAATATTTCCAAATAAGTCCCTAAACTTTTCAATTTTTTGAAATCATACCTCAAAATTTCAAAACTTCTATTTTGATCACTAACCTTGATTTTTGAGATGTCACACTACCTCACTTACAAAGAGGAGTCACTCGAAGAACATCCCACATGGCTTTCCCGTGAAGGGGAATCATCCAAAGATCATCTCACCTGGTTCTGACCCACGAAAGGGAACCACTTGAAGATATACCGCTTGGCTTTCCCTTGAAGGAGAGTCATCTAAAGAATTATGACTGGCTTATACCTGTGAAGGGAAGCCATTTTTCACTTAAAGGAACTATTCGCAGTATAGCTCAAAACGAGAAGGGTTATCTGCCAGCAAAGACCTTCGAGTTTGATTACATTCAGCTAAAAGGGATATCAAATTTACAACATAGCTCAAAGCGAGAAGGGATATCAGTCAACAAAGACCTTCGAGTTCGATTACATTCGGCTCAATGACATATCAAATTTATAGCATAACTCAAGGCGAGAAGGGTTATCTATCAACAAAGACCTTCGAGTTCGATTACATTTAGCTCAAGGACTTATCAAATTTATAGCATAACTCAAGGTGAGAAGGATTATCTGTCAACAAATACCTTCGAGTTTGATTCCATTCATCTCAAAGCCATATCAAATTTACAGAATAGCTCAAGGCGAGAAGGGCTATCTGTCAACAAAAAACTATCGA